TGGAAGGTCTGAAAACCACCACCATCAGATTGGTGCTTATACTTGCAGTGTCAATGGTTTGACAGTTTCTGATGATATGCCGCGTTGAGGAAAAAAAAAGTATGCATGTCAGATTTCTGAAAAGAGATTTACAAGCTCAAATACAAATGTCCTAGGCAGGCTTGATGAGGTTATCCCAGATTTTTTTATTCTTTTTATTAACAATTTAACAAATTCTTATTCATGAGATTTTGAAGTCATGGCATGTTAAACAAACTGGAGACAGTAATCCCACTCGAGCAAAATACTCACTGGCAACCATATTGCGGTCGAATGCAGTCTAATTAACTTTATGATGGTTCAGTTGGTTTTCGTTTCACTTTGTATAAAAAAATTTATCACTTTGTAATCAACACACAACGTTCCATATCTCATTCTCAATTTTTATCACTTTGGTAGCACAATGTTCCATTTCTCATTTTCACTTGAAGTTGGCCTTGTTATCTCTCATATACTTGATACTTTGTTAAAATGTTGGTTTATATTTTATCACCTTGTAATCAGCACTGCGTTTCATTTCTCATTCTCAATTGAGAAGGCCTTTCTATCTCCTTTACTTGATACTTGGTTAATGTAAGGCCTTGTTCTCTCTCTCTCTCTCTCTCTCTCTCTCTCTCTCATGCTCTCACTTGAGCTACAACTCCATTTTGCGAGACTAGCTACAAAGGAAAAGAAAAACAGCTGAGAGATATATATAAACACAAATTCTTAGGAGTATGTGCTGAATTAATGCTATAATGATTCTAGGTTTATGTTATGTTGTTATATTGATGTCTAAATCTTTTCAACCAATTGGTTTGATTTTTTAAATAGAATAATCAACGGGTTGAGCGGACTTGATAAGAAAGACGTCATTCTTTAATGTGCATGTGTGGCATGCCAATATCATGGTCACAAGTGGCCGTGAGTACAAATGATCAAATTACTTATGCTCCTCGCTATGATCTTGACTTCTTTCAAGTGATTGTGGCCGAGACAGAAACTAATTCTCGGCCATAAGTTTCCAGGCTTCGACCACAAGGCCTTTAGAATAGGGATGGCAAAAATACTGGCTGGGTTGACTCCCCGTCGGGTACCCGCTCATAACGAGGGAAGATTTCGGAGAAAATCAGGGGCGGGTACGGGATCCTTGAATTTTAAAAATACTCGGTTGAAGATAGGCTAGGGATAGTATTGTTATCCCCATCCCTGAACCCAGGCCGATTAGTGATATATATAAATATATATATAATTAATGAATATAGAATATAGAATATATATATATATTATTTCAATAAACCATATAGGAAACAATTCATGATTTTCTTGGTTGACCAAGAAACATATGGAAAGTTTTTTTTTAATGTGTTCTCCCTGATTCGTTATTAGAACCTTCTCCCATGTTGTTTGATGATGCTACCACTACAAGAAAACCAAGTATTTACAGCACGGCATTTATGGTGTGTATTTGTGGCGCACCGTAAAAGAGTAGTTTTTATGGCATGCATTTTGAGCGTGCCATAAATGAATTTTTTCCTATGCATTTTGAGCACGCCGTATACGGTGCTAGTGCTACAGTGCTACCAAGTTTTTTTGTTTATTTCATCTTTTATTTTTGTAGGTTTTTAATGTGTTCTTTTGTTGTTGTTAATTTTAGCAGTAGAATAAGAATTTTGTGACAAAATATTTAGTTTCGATAGTGGATAATGTGATTTCTATTAGTTTTTCAAATTGTTTAGATGATTTTGAGTAGTTAAATTGAATTTTATGGTTTAATTGAATGTAATTGAGTTTTTTTTTTTTTGGTCAAAATTGAGAGTAGTAGATTTTTAATAAATACAAATCGGGTAATTGGGGCGGGTTTGGGAGACAACAACCCTCGACAGGGACGGGGACTGAAATTCCCCAAAATTTCTTATCGGGGATAAAGCGGGAACAGGGATGATATTGTCATACCTGTCCCCGAGCCTACTCGTTTCCATCCCTACTTTAGAATGAGCGTGTGGTTGGACAATATCACCGAGCTTGGTAGCTTGGTAGTGGTATTGGGCTCAGGAGCTCAGTGGGTTCATATAGCTCAAGAATTGCGGGTATCTTCAGAAATCTGGGTGGATTGGATGGTACTCAAGAATTAACTCTGTTAATGAAAAACTAAGAAACTCTTGTTAATATATGAAATGGATGATTGAAATGGAAATTGCCCAAGAACTCAAAACGGTTTCTGAGTTCTTCTAATTGAGAGTTACACTAATTTCTAAAGAAAAGCATTAAAAATATAAAAATAAAATAAAATAAAAATAAAAAAAACTACGAACTACATGATAAAAGAGTAAAGGGTGCATTTGAGCATCTGTTGGGCTTGATTTGTTTGGTTGATGCTCTTCTATTTTATAAACTTGGTATTTCTCCGGCCGAGACAATAATTTTGGCCGTGCTCTGACACACGTCCAATCAACTTCATAGCTTTATGTCTACGCTTTTGCTTGTGTTTGGTCAAAATTGGTGGTGGAAAATGTGGCCTTCTGTTGCTTTTGTGCCATGGAACTTTGACACCGTCTCTGAACATTGCTCTCTCTGAACAGTGCCCTTAATGTTTGCTCCCTTGGTGATGCAAACAATTCCTCGGTATGCTCTTGTCGTCGAGCTCATCTCTTTCAAAATGCAAGCACTAAGTAAGCAAGTTTCCCATTGTTTGTTCTCTCTGCGAGGCAAACATTCTCTTGATTTTTATTTTTTTTATAAATATATTTAGTCCTATACCCATTCTTAACACTAATAATATAGATAAACCCTACACCATTTAATTTTTATAAACAAACTATAAAAAAAATCCAAAAAATGATAGCTGACCATATTGAATTTAATTTTGATTATTAAATTACTTTAATGCCCTATTGAGTGTTTTGGGTTCTTTTTATGAGGTTTTAGGGTTGGTTTTGTTTTAAAAAATCAATTGTTGTTTTATAATTTAAAAGAAGTTTAAAACTTTTTTGTTATGTTGTAAATGAGCTTTGGGTGTGTTTCTAAAGTTCATTTCATATAAGTTTTATTTATAATTTGAGCTCTTATATTGGATATAATAGTGAATCTCCCTTAAATATTCGGCTTCTTTTGTTATTTAGGCCACGCATGTGGGTTTGGAAGTCCTTTTAGGCCCAATAGTATCTTCCTATTTTCAGTTGCCATAATATTGGAAAGCTCCTTCTCCTTAGGCCCATTGGCAAAAAAATCTAGGCCCAAACACGTTCAAGAATATTTATTCTCCAGAGACTTACGT